AAGAAAGAAAGAAAGAAAGAAAGAAAGAAAGAAAGAAAGAAAGAAAGAAAAGAAAGAAAAAAGAAAGAAGCCTTGACAGAAAAAACATGTTTTAGGTTATTTGATATCACAAGAGCCTCCCTCCCTCTCCCCTACACAAAGCTTACCAAAAGGTTTAATGCGGACTTTCATCAAAAACCAAAAGTTCTCAAATAAAGTGCCCTTAATTTAATAAGCTTAGAAAAGGATACAATGATGGGAATTTGTAGGTGTATTTGGGTGGCGTTTCCCTTTGCCTCTCTTTTGAAAAGAAATCAACAAGACTTATAAAATTGAACCCCTAGAATGGGGAAGAAAGAGAAACTCTGCAAAGTTCATTTTTAAAAAAGCAAAAAATATAGAGCGTGTCTTGTATGTACCAAACTTTACACGGTGTTTTGGATCATCATGTATTTGAAATCCTGTCCACCATCAAAGCAGAAAGACAATTCTAAGTGTCACAAATATTTCTCAGGGCAGTGAGTGGAGTGGGCAAGATTTGGTCTGAAAGCAGAGGTAAGAAAAGAGAAGAGACCAGGACAGAACTGTTACAAGTGAGCCCTTGATGTCGTCGGGAGGCCCTTCCATGGGACCCCCTCATCCTTTGGAAGGGCTCTCCACTTGCACATTCCTGCTTCACAGTGATGTTCAGAGTAGGTACTGAGACCTACTGACTGATCTATCTTGGGTGTGATGCCCGTGGAAATACGATCCACAAATGACTGACATACTCCAAATGCCAAAGAATGTCATTTCTGGACAACAGAAAACACACACACACACACAAACACACACACACCAAAACAGCCCAAGCAGCAGCCATGTCAAAACGGTGGAACTTTATTTCTATGGATCCTTTGGTGTCGGATAAGGTGTGGACTCTGTCTAAAGCTTTCCCCGCATTCAAGACATTTGTAAGGTTTTTCTCCAGTGTGAGTCCTCTGGTGCGTAATGAGGGTTGCACTCTGGCTGAAGCGTTTCCCACACACAGAACACCCATACGGCTTCTCCCCAGTGTGGACCCTCTGGTGTTTAGAGAGGTCTGAGCACCGTTTGAAGCTCTTCTCACACTCCTCACACGTGTAGGGTCTCTCCCCTTTGTGAATTCTCTGATGTCTAAAACGGTTGGAAATACGGCAGGTCTCCCCGCATTCGTGACACTCGAAGTGTTTCTCTCCTATGTGGATCCTCTGGTGCCGGGTGAGATGGGAGCTCTGCCGGAAGCTGTCCCCACACTTAGGGCAGGTGTAGGGCTTTTCGCCCGTGTGTGTCCTCTGGTGTTTGATCAGGGCAGCGCTCTGATTGAAGCGCTTCCCACACTCTTGGCATTGGTAGGGTTTCTCCCCCGTGTGGATTCTCTGGTGTTTAAAAAGATCAGAACGCTGTTTGAAACTCTTCTCACAGTTCCCGCATTTATACGGCCTTTCTTCACGGAGCTGTCGCTGGGTCTTAAAGAGGTCTGCACTGTGGAGCTGTTCCTCGCTGTCAAAGGAGCGGGGAGGTTTCACTGTGTGATGCTTTACCGGCTCTGAACTCTGTGTACAACTGTCCCCCAGGTCATTGTGGTCAACGGGCCTCCCTGTGGCCTGCACGTGCTGACAAAGAACAGAGTTTGAACTTCTGGCCCTGTTCCCAAGTTGGCCATGTCTGAAGTCTCCCTCCTCCGTGGGACCATTCTTGAGATCTGCGGTGCAGGGGAGTCCTTCCTCTTCAGGAGAATTTTCCAGTTTCAATGATGAGGGATTTCTTGACTGCTTTTCTACCCCTATCTCACCAGTGTCACTACATCCAGGGGGAGCCTTCCTGTGGGACCCTTCTTGTAGCTGCCCCTGCGGCTCTACTTCTTCTAAAATTTCTTGTTTTGGAATAAAGTCTTTGTTCTCCATTCTGGTTTCCAAACCTGAAACATTCAAAAATAAAAAGGAGGCAAACCGTAAGAGACTCTTTTTATATATATAATTTATTGTCAGATTGGTTTCCATACAACACCCAGTGCTCATCCCAACAGGTGCCCTCCTCTATGCTCATCACCCACTTTCCCCTCCCCCCCACCCCCATCAATCGTCAGTTTGTTCTCAGTATTTAAGAGTCTTCTATGGTTTGCCTCCTTCCCTCTCTGTAATTTTTTCCCCCTTCCCCTCCCCCCTAGTCTTCTGTTAAGTTTCTCAGGATCCACATATGAGTGAAAACATACAGTATCTGTCCTTCTCCACCTGACTTATTTCACTTAGCATAACACTCTCCAGTTCCAGCCATGTTGCTACAAATGGCCAGATTTCATTCTTTCTCATTGCCAAGTAGTATTCCATTGTATATATAAACCACATCTTCTTTATCCATTCGTCAGTTGATGGACATTTAGACTCTCTCCATAATTTGGCTATTGTTGAAAGTGCTGCTATAAACATTGGAGTACCAGTGCCCCTATGCATCAGCACCCCTGTATCCCTTGGGTAAATTCCTAGCAGTGCTATTGCTGGTCATAGGGTAGATCTATTTTTAATTTTTTGAGGAACCTCCACACTGTTTTCCAGAGCGGCTGCACCAGTTTGCATTCCCACCAACAGTGCAAGAGGGTTCCCGTTTCTCCACATCTTCGAAGAGACTCTTAAATAGATAGCAAACTGAGGGTAGCTTGAGGGGAGGTGGGTGGGGGGATGGGCTAAATGGGGGATGGGCATTAAGGAGGGCACTTGTTATGATGAGCACTGGGTGTCATATGTAAGGGATGAATCACTAAATTCCACTCCTGAAACCGTTTTTACGCTATATGTTAAAGAACTTGAATTTAAATACAATAAAAAAAAAAAAAG